CTCTGCAGCCCCATTTCCATTGTTCTCAAGAAGTACCACCCAGGCCACCAATCAGCCTGGTTAGGCTGCCCAGACAACTGTAACATAATGTCACTGGCTAGGTAGCCTCAACAGCAAACACAGACACCTAGGGGTCCTGCCAGGTTGACAGTCCCGCTAAGCATCACACACCTTCAGGGAGGCAGAACTTATTTTGACTCCTGGTTTCAGAGGCCTTGGTTCTGTTTCTTCTGGGCCCACGCATGCTGAGGCAGGGCATCTCAATGCGATCAACTGGTGGAGTGACATGGCTCATGGGGAACAGGAGGCAGAGAGAGACACAAAGGGACAAGGACAAGGCGCATTTGTCCAGGGCATGTCCCAGTGACATACTTCCTCCCGCGAGCCCCAACTCCTAACTTTCACTACCTCCCGATTATGTCGTCAAACTACAACTCCATTGATGAGGTCAGAGCCCTCACGATACAATCAATTCCCAGCAGCCCTACCTCCGAATACCACTTTGAGAGAAGCAAGATTTCTACACAGGATTCTCTTGCACAACACTTCAGATCCAAACGACACCAGATGGTCTCTTCAGCCAGAGTGACCGCAGCCTGACTTTGGGGACCCCAAACGCAACAGGCAACAAGACAGCTGTGACAACCAATGCCACCTTCTCTCTTGTGCACTTTCGTTTTTGTTTCTTAAGACCAGGTCTCACCTTTTAGACCAAGCTGGCCTCAAACTCACAAAAGTCCGAATGCCTCTGCGTCCTGAGGGGTAGGCTCAGAGGTGTGCATCACCACACCTAGATGTCCTAGATGCAAACTAATGCTCACTCACCCGAGATTCCCAGCGCCAGGAGGTCCACTCTGTCTCCACTCTATCCCACCAAGGACTTGTTTACAGTCCCATCTTCGCACTCCACAGCTTCCCAGCATCACTTGCCCTCTCCGACACTATCTTTCCTGGTCTCACCTGCGGGCTGATTACTAATATTCTTGTCCTTGAGATAATGTCTCTATAACCAACTAAGATTTATGTTAGGTTTGTTGTTGTTGATGATGTCATTTTGCCAGAAGCTGTGCCGTCTCTACTGATAAGAAACTAGTGTAGATGAGAATAAAACCAGCACGATAAAGATCACCTGTGGATAAGAAAATAAAAGAAAGCCCACCATGATGCTAATCACAAAGTAAGCACGCTGATAGATACTAAGAAAATGAATAAACACATGTGTAAGGTTTGTTAAGAGATAAATAGCAGGCTAGAGACACGGCTCAATGGTTACGAGCACTAGATGCTCTTCCAGAGGATCTGGGTTCTGCTCCCAGCCCCATGGTGGTGCCTACAGCCATCTATAACTCCAGGGGATCTGATACCTTCTTCTGGCTCCTCAGGCATAAATACACATGGTGCACAGACACACAATGCAGGCAAAATGCCCATACACATAAATTAAATTTAAAAAATTAAAAGGCAATATAGCTCATTAGAAAGCATTCTGGATATTACACCTGTAACTCCAGCAATCATGAGACTGGAGCAAGAGATGTGCTAAAGTCTGAGGCAAACCTGGGCTACAGTGTGAAATCCCTTAGATAATAGAGGATTATCATAGTTTTCAAAGGTTTGTCTTGTGTTTTATGTTTATGTGGGTGTGTCTGTGTTGAGTATATATCACTTGAGTTCAGTGCCCACAGAAGATAGAAGAGACACTCAGGTTCTCTTGGAACTGGGGTTACAAGAAGTTGTGAGCCATTTGATGTGGGTGCTAAGAACCAAATTTGGATCCTATGAAAGGACAGCAAGTGCTCTTAACTGCTGAGCCACTTCCCAGCCAGGATGACTGTTTCCTTGTTTTGTCTACTAGTCTTTCTCTCTGCCTTCTAGTCCTTTCTTGTCTTCTAGTCTTTCTCTGTTGTTTACTACTCTTTCTCTTCATACTTTTTCATGATCTCACAGACCCATTGAGACTTTGTCTGCCAGAAGGAAAGAGGGTGATGCAGGCTAAAGGATGGCCTGAACAGGGAAAGATTGATGGTACACTGCACAGGGGCCTTCGCTGTACTATATAATCCATCTCTGATTAGTTAAAGTATAAACAATATATTGTGGAGCCTCCATAGTTCACAAACATCAGGAAGAGCTGAAAGAATACATGTAAGTCAAATATTAAGCTCTTCCAAATAAGTGTTTCATGTCCTGCTCCACCCTCCCCGATGTGCCACACACACACACACACACACACACACACACCAGGAGAGAGAGAAAGGGAGGGAGGGAGGGAGGGAGGGAGGGAGGGAGGGAAGGAGGGAGGGAGGGAG